TAACGAAAAAATACTTAAGTATAGTGTTTTGGAAAGCTCTCGAGATAAGCTACAAGAATATACAATAAAAAATGGGGGTATCCATTTAAAAACATCATTGTGACCTTGACCTGATCTTTATGACGCAACTCAAGGTCAAACTGCTAATATCATAAAATAGATCTTTTTAAACCCTACAACTTTTCTATTTAACATTTTTTTATACAACGCTTTGTTTTCGAGATATTCAGGTGTTCCGGTATATAATATTCACCCTGTATATATATATATATATATATATATATATATATATATATATATATATATATATATATATATATACATGTACACACACACACACACACACACACACACACACACACACATATATGTAGTTATATTTATTAGTATTACGTCCACCTCATAACCCTGGACATACGGACGTAAAATGGACATGAAATGGATGTCCTATTGATGTCCTGTGCTGTCTGGGAAGTCGATGTCGCTTATGCACATGTATTCTACATGTATTCACAAGTTGACCAGAAAAGCTTCAGCTTCGATACGATATAATACTAGTTACGCCATCTCTTGAAAATCCTTTAAAATTAATGTACACTCCCAATATATTATATTTCTGAATATATTATGTAAATATATATAAATTTTGTATTTTTATATCTGTATTTATGTTTTTAGTACGAAGCACGATTTGGTACAAATGCAGATTGTATTAATCTATCTGAAACATTTCAAGCTTTTGGATTCAAAGTTTACCTACTTGAAAATTTGAAAAAAACTGAAATGCTAGAAAAAATAAAAAACATTCCAAGTGAACATGGCATCAACTATGATTGTTTGTTTCTTTGCATTTTAAGTCATGGATACGAAGGTAAGGATAGTATTTATTTTTTAATTAATTAATGTTTGATGTTTTATGAATAATTGTTTGCATATTTGAATTTATTTCAATATATTTGAAATGTCTATTATAAAGGAGAGTATGCAAAATTGGGTTTGGTTTTGGGAAATATAATTCAAACGAAAAGATGTTACATATTCTTATGTATTTTAAGTCGTAGAATTCGAAAATGGTCATGAAAATTAGGACACTAACGGGGAAAATAAGAAAAATGAGAAAGAAACGTGAAATCGTAAAAATTCTGGACATCATTTTTTTACGTTTATTCTTACGTTATTTTTTTCATGTTATTTTGTATTACAGAATCTCGAGTCAACTATCTGGAAGTACTCAACATATGTACAAGGTATGCAATAAGTTCCGGCTCGGCGAAATACCACGAGAAAAAAATATAGCTGTAGAAAAAAATGTTTTAAACAAAAGTTGTAAGGTTTAAAAATATCTATTTATTCCCTTTATGAGTTTAACCTTCGCTTACATTTATGAGTTTTACCTTCGCTTACGTCGCCAAGATCAGTCGAAGATTACTTTGAATTTTGTAATTGGGACCCCTTATTTTTTATTTCCGACATTTATTCAATATATTTTTGTTAGTATATTAATGAATACAGGATATATATTATTTTTATATCATTTTTATTATACTGATGTACGTAATTGCACATAGATATATGCAATACGGATATTGCCTTCATTGACTAGATATCTTACTATAAAAACCTCGATAACTTCAGACAGCTGACATAATGTAAATATAATTATAGCATTTTAAAAAAATCTCAAGGACGGCTATAAGAATATGTAATATGATAAAAATGAATGGTCCTATTTAAAAAATTCAAGATGAGCTTTACCTGATCTTGGCCACGTAACCGAAGGTTAAACTGATAAAGGGAGTAAATAGATATTTTTAAGCCCTACAACTTTTCTCAAATATTTTTTTTCAACAACTATATTTCTTAAGGTATTTCGCCGAGCCGGAACTTTTTGCACACCTTGTACATATGTTGAGTAATTCCAGATAGTTGACTCAAGATTTTGCGACTCAAAATAACAAGAAAAATTTACGCAAGAATAAACGTAAAAAATTACGTTCGAGAATTTTTACGATTTCATGTTTTTTCCATTTTTCTTAATTTCCTAAGTTTTCCTCGCTAGTTCCCTAATTTTCATGGTTATTTTTTAATTCTACGACTCAAAATACATAAGAATATGTAACGTTTTCTTGTTTGAATTACAGTTCCCAAACCTCCAATTTGCATACTCTCCTTTGACTTATAATATGCCAGTGAAAATGTTATACGATTTGTTAATAGTATATGATAGCAGATAAAAACAGAATAGGATTTGTAATTCCTTAAATATATCTTTTAAGTGCAAATAAGATAAATGACGGATTATTGACTTGATATTTATTTCTAGTTTGCAAATTTGAGACGTAATTATTTACTATATAATATCGATTATTGTTATAAATTACTTTTTTCAATAAAAATTTATATAATGATATTTTTTTTTATTAATGACAATAATGGAAACGCAATTATATTTTTGAGTTAAAGTAATGGATATATAACTGTTTTACTTTATAAAATAATTTTATCGTTATTTAACATATATGTAGAATATTTTTGTTTATACAATGGTTTTCATATATTTTTCCCAATGAAATTAAGAGCATATCAAACAATCACGATTACAAAATATTCACGAGCTTTTACGGCAGAGCTCGGCACGTACATTTCGGCTAATTTTTTACTTGCACCGCTTAACACTATTCCCTTTACTTTATCGTCCTGTGCGCAACGAATCGCTCGAGATTCATAAGGGGAGGGTGGACCTGAGGTCACGGAATTGAAATAGGTTTTTATGTTATATAGTATTTAAAAAATATTAAAAATCGCCCAAACCTGTGTATAATAGAAAGTAATAAAATGTTAAAACAACACATTAAACATACAAAGTGTCCCAGATTACCTTCACAATCTCTCGTGAGGACGTAAAGCGGATTGAGATGAGTATAACAGTCCCATACCGTTTTGCGATGTTCTTAATAATAACCGAGAAATTAATTGTAAAGGCTTAAGAAAAAACGCACGCTGAATGGTTAAGGGAGAAGCGCTCGCGACTTAGTAATATAACAGACGGATGTCAGCACGCGACTTACATCGCTACGATCCTACGTCTTGCCATACCGCGCCGAGGCGAGATGTAGGAGTGCAGCGATATAAGTATAGGCAGTGGTGTGTTGTTTTTCCAATCACCGCGCGCTGACATCCGCGCGTTGCGACTCTATATAATATTAAAAAACACATTGCTAAAAAGTAGACAAGATCAATACAATTAGCCACGTACATAGTTCTACAGAAAAATTTACAAATTAATTTGAGCATATACAGGGTGTCACCTAATTTAAGCATCTTAAATATCTTACTTATTTTTATAGCAGGATGCCAAAGGAAATTATTCAATTCGAGAAGACAAATGCTATAAAAAAACAAGACATTTTTTGAAAATGATATTTTTTAGGATTTCAATGTCATTGTCATTTTTTTTATATGAAACTACATTTTTTTTATCATCACAATATGATAACCAAGGTCGCGACAAATTCAACGATCTACAATACTATGACCTTCATGTAACCTTGAATATGAAAATAACGTAATATCTCGCAATCATCAGCTCGAATAAATCACAACGGATTTCTGAATCGTAAATGAAAGGAGAATAATAAATATAACTTAATAAGATATGTTGATATTGAAGCTACAAAGAACGTGTTTACTAATTAGTCGGTTTAATGCTAGTATCTACAAATATTAGGATTTGAAAATAGTTTATTTTTTATGATAATCTAGTTTACATAAATGTATTGAGGTTAGTGAACATCATTCAGAACACTTGTTAAAATAAAATTTATATTATTAAACTATCTGTGGTTTTAATTAATCTCTCCGTCACTAATTACTTCCTTGCACAGTTTTTGTAAATTTTTCACACTGAACGTCACGTGAGTGTCATAGTATTGTAGGTCGTTGGAGATTCGTCTTGATTTTGGCTATCATATCGCGATGATAAAAATATGTAGTTTCATATAAAAAAATGACAATGACTTTGAAATCCCAAAAATATGACCTTAAGAAGAATTTATGGTATTCTACAGTATTTATCTCCTCGAACAGAATAACGTTCCCCTTTTGCATCTTTCTATCATAAAAGCGAGATATTTAAAATGTTCAAGTTAGGTGGGACATCCTGTATATGAGTTTGTAACGAGCCGAACATCGATCGTTACGGAAAAATGATACAAAGACAGATTAGAGACACCGAAGAGCATCGCGACAAGAAAACATGCGCTAGTAAATAAATTGCTGAATATCCGCGATACACAGCGAATCAAGCGAGATTCGTATGTAAAATGCGACGCGAATTCAGATCGAAGCAGATTCCGATCATCCGCTCTTCCGAGAGATCAGAATCCGATCCGTTCTTGAAACACCGAGTTCTAGAGAAATCCTAAACCGAGTAAAACTACTGAAACATCTTCTCGAGTACTGTTCATGGTGGACTTCCATTTGCGAATACACGACAAGAGTCACTCCGCCGTCGACTCACGAATACGTGACATCGACATTGCTCCGAATATCGTTCCTGGCAGATTTCTGTTCGCGGATACGCGACAGGAGTTACTTCGCCGTCGACTCACGAATACGTGACATCGACATTGTTCCAAATACCGTTCCTGGCATATTTCCGTTCGCGGATACGCGACAGGAATCACTCTGTCGTCGGTTCACGAATACGTGACACCGACTCTGTTCCGAATACTGTTCCTGGTGGATTCCCGTTCGCGAATACGCGACAGAGTCACTCCGCCGTCGGCTCACGGATTCGTGACATCGACACTGAGAAATACTGTAATCCGTAAGATTCCAAGGCCACCGAAGGTCTTGGAATCCATCCGACAGAAGGGCGCTTTAACGACCTTCACATCGTTAACCGGATCTCGACCTCGCGTTCAAGCGAGCGAGATCATACCGAGTCGCAGCGAGCGAACTCACTCGCGTAGCATCGAAGCCTCGCTCCGTTGCAGTGCAGCTTCGATACCGTATCATACTGATCCGCGACAGATCGACCGCCGTCGACTCGCAAGAACGCGAACTAGCCTCCGTATTACAACCGCATCCGTATTAGCAACCGTACTCGGGAAGCGAGATCGGGATTACTCCGCGGCGCATAGGCGACACCGTATCTTCCGTATCCGTGATCTCGCACGAACGAGCCGGACTTATTCGGCAACCAAGACAAACAAAACCAACTAAGACTCCGCGCACACAGACGGACTGCCGAAGCAGCCTCTGTCACGCACCGAATATCCGATCTACTAGAGACATCATTGCATCCGAGTTATCGCCAACGAGGCGATCCAACGCAAGACCGCTTATATCCGGCTGCATCGCCTAGCAGCTGATAAAGATATTGTCAACCGGCATTTAAATAGACAAGCCGCGGAAATGTCAACAGACGGATTCACGTCTAAAAGAAACGACGCGACAACAATACCGACCGTGTTCCGCGCACCGCGCGCAACGTCTCGCAAGCCATCACCTAAACAAAACCTCTGACAGGCGTGTATACAGTCGTCCGAAAACCAACGGCGTCGACACCAAACATCTTATTTAATGTATAATAGCAGCTGATTTTAAATATACGACCAAGTTTATTTTTGATTTCACTGTTTCAAAATTATTCCGCTTCCTACGAACCCGAACCGGCGAGCGTAATCCGGTACGCAACGCATCGCGGTTACAAGTTATTTCACGTGAAATCGATTATGCCAGAACAGCAAAAAACCTTTTAAAGATAAAACTTCCGCCAGAATGCAAAGTATAGGTTTAAATATGAACATTGAGATGCTATGATCCAATACAGCAAGACCCAATATGGTGAGCCAAATGGTAAAATTG